CTTATTACTGTTATTTATTCATTTTTGATTTGTTCTCATTTTGGCTTTATGAGAAGCACAAAATGCAGAATCCTTCACTGTACAAACTCCCTCCACCAGTGATTCTCTCAGTGCTGTTATGTGCATAAAGGCTTAAATCTGCATCTCCATCTGCATGTGTCCAGACGGACTACATTCACCCGTTAGCTGACAGAACGTACAGACTCTGCCTAATAGTAACTCGTTCAGTAAGCACTGTTTACCTGTCACGCCTGCGAACGTGTCTATTTGCGTAGTGTGTGTACATGTAAACACTTCTGTGTGTGTGTAACATCATGTGGTTGCAGCCCTTTAACAGGCTTTGACTGTGCTCAGTAACTGTGCTGTCTGTCACAGGGTTAATTAAATCGGTTTCAGCTCCATCTAGTGGCGGCTCCGCCAAACTACAGTAACCCAAACGCTGCTGGAACGCATCGCAGGTTCAGCAGCGCACCTCCTTCTACAGTGTGGCTGCCACCCTGGGTATCACATATGTTTTCTATCAGGTTGTAATAAGCCAGTGGTCTGCGTGTTTGGTCAGTTGTGGCTCTTTGGAACTGAGTGGTTTAGATATAACAGCGACAGGATTGTTTCTGTCCCAGGGCACCTGCTGAAAAAATACATCCAGCCCATAGTACAGTGCTCCATTATACACCAAGCAGCATATCATTATTTCAGATCATCTTTAGGCCAGTTTCACTGGTTTAGTTTACATTTAGTTCAATTAAAGGATTTACCACTTGGATTCCTTTGGAAATTACGTGGGGTTAACAAGTCTGAGTTTTTAAGAAATGAACTGTGAAATTATTCAGATTTACTGATCACAGCTTTGAAGCACTGCAAAGATTTCTGAGATTTATGTAAGACTTCAGTATTTCACTGATAAAATCACAGTGTTCAGTAGAAAAAGCTTTTGTTTTGCTGCCTGTACGTTTAAAATAATTGCATAACATAGAATAGCATCTAAAGAGGGTTAAGGAGTGAAAGAAAAATATAAGGTCATTTTCAGAGGTACAATAATCAGCGTAATTATAGACATTTTTTAGTCACTAAGACGCCGTATCAATGTGCCATTTTCTTATGTACACAGAAAAAAAGATCTTTTTACTGGACTTTGGCCAGTGCAGTTGTCAGTAGGTATAACTGTACAGGCTACTGTAATCTTTCCCTACAGCAGTGGTTGTAACTGCCCTCTCGTGCCTGGGAGCCCTGTTTCCTGTCTTAATGACAGCAGTATAATTGGCCCACATCAAAAGGCTGCAGCCATCTGTGAGTGCTTATAGAGAAGAGGAAGAAGAAGCAAGGTAAAGAAAGAAAGTTTGTGCCCCTCGGCTGTCTGTTTTCCTGCCTTGTCTAGTTTCATATTTGCCACTTCTCGTCTTGTGAGGTGTATAGGTGCACTTTTCCCTGCCTGGGCTGTGTGTTATTTTTGTGGGTGTGTTTTTGTCGTGATTGTGGTCCTCCAGGCAGGAAGGGCCCCGGCTGCAGATGTGAGCTGGGCAGGGAGCAGGGAACAGAGCAGCACATTGTACTGGGCGTACTGGGGGAGCTCAGGGTGCAATCTGATCCAGTATCCTGCCATCACAGAACCACGCTGTCTACTGTCACTGCCTGACCCCCCCCAAAAAACACACACATACACTCCACCTTTGCCTGAACCTCTCTCTGCCTGCTTCTACCGCTACATCTTTCTGTCTCATTCCCAGCATTCCTGTGCAGATCTGCAAAAGTCTTGAAAATTATCAGAAAAAATCAATCTCCTCCAATCTTGGAAAGTTTGAAAACATCCAAAGAAAGCCTGGAAAAGCATGGAGCTTTATTTTTCTGTCTGTTTATGAAGGTTTTCTTGGTTTTTGAATACTATAGCTTGTGACTTTTCACATATAACTCAAGCTACTTATGAAAATCTATTTCAGTTAAGACTGATGTCTGGAAAAAGGGGAAACTACTTTTTTCTGTCTACTATCTTTTTGTCCTGCTCTTGTTATTTCATTTCTATTTTCACCTGCCCCATGTTTCCACTTTCACCAACTAATCTCCCTTCTGCTCATTTCCACCTTGAAGCAAGTGTTTTTAGGGAACTTTCTGTCTGGGATGTTTCATGTGCCATCGCTCTGTTCAGTCTAACTCTCACTTTCTCTCCTCCCTACATATTCTTTTAACACCCTTCTCTTTCTGCTGTCCGTCCTCTCTCCATCTTTATCTCCTCCTTTTCATCTTTCTCTCTCTCGTATAGGGTGACGTTAATGGGCTGTGGTCTAGACACCCTCGGGCAATATCAACGCGCCATTTGCTCTGTCTGAATAAATATTACCATCTGTGGGTCTGTTTGACTAACTGTTAACTCTGAGACGCTGGGTGTCACCTAAACATGCTCACCTCTGATGGGATCAGTGTGAATTTGGGACAAAAACAAGGGAACCTCACGCCAGGTGCTAATACAAACATCATAAATGGCTGATAAACACATTAAAATAGCTTCATAATGCAGTGTCTCAGCATTGTTACATTCATAGTACAACGCAGTGGAAAGCAGTTTCTGTTTTTATTGATAACTGACATGAGCCTTTGACCTTGTATCTATATGTGACAACAGCAGGTGGGTTAAAGTTCATGTACATGCAGTGACTTGTGGTCGTTTCTGATGGACATCTGGGCTTCTGATCAGGAGATGATTTGGTCAAGCAGTTGCTAGAAAACATCTTCAGCTCTGGAGTTATATGTGCTCATCCCTCCCTCTCAAGTTTAGATCCTGATTTATATCTCAATACATAGGTGGCTTAAAATCCATGGTGGATAAGCTGCATCATTTGGTGGCTTCTTACTTTACATCCCCTTCTAGTGCTGGTAGGACGCATATGTTTGCCCCACTGGTAATAGAATCATATTATTCGTTAGTGCAGTCCTTTTACATGCTTGGTTGTGCTTTTTCAACATGCTCAGGGTTCAGAATTACGTATTTTCTCATAAATATGATGTTTTTAAAGCACCTGGAAATGACAGTTTATGAAGGTGGCTATCATAGATGACATCACTGACACTGCAAGTTCATTTTGAGAAGTGCTACTTTAGCTGTAAATGAATTTAATTGACTGTTAACAGCAATGTTAGCCCTCTGGTGCGCCTCAGAAACAGAAAGGCTGGCCAAAACAGAGGGAGGATAACTCAGTACAGGAAACTGTGATGTTGTAACTTTATAGCTGCTTCACTTCAAAACCCGACTTTGTAATTACATTTCATTTGGGTTCTCAGACTGCAAAATATTCTTAAAGTGCATGCAAGCCTTTTGGTTTTAAACCTTGGCAGAATTTGTGTCATGGATGTTTGTCATTCCATCTTGAGTTAGACAGCAGGGCACACAGCAGCTCTGGATCTTTGGGCAAGAATTAGCATTTCACTAGAAACAGACTGAACAAACTTGTTTTTGTTTAGTTTTTTGATTTTTGCATAAAGAGTTATTTCAATTAGCGTGTTTTGGACATGTATCAAACAATATACAACCAACTGACTGCTGCATTTACTGGAACACTGTTCCATGAACATAACATGAAGTTATATATATGAAGGTATATTAGAGATCAGACTTTTCTAAGATTCAACACCAACTATGGTGAGATTAGTGACGGCATCAATTCAACAAAATTATTTTTAAAGTAATTGCTGATTCAAGATGTTTGTTTCCCAAACTGATCGTTTTGGGATATAGAATAACTGGAACTAAGATTTTCTTTCTCCCCCTGAAGTATTTCTGTGTTTGAGTACTATCTGCTGTTCTTATTTTAGGGGTAGCGTAGTGGCAGTATAGTGTTTATCATTGTATGGGGGATCACAAAGGGAATTGTATTCATAATTCCAGGGATTTTGTCTCAGGTTTTCTAGCTAAAGTACACAGACTGACACAGTGCCTTTGAGCAATGTGAGGAAGCCACTAAGGTGAACCACAGCGCAGACTGAAGGTGGAGAAACTAACTGGTTGACCTCAGCGTGTGAAAGTGGAGACAGGATGTGAGTTCAGTGTCTGTATCTGACAGTGCGTATTTGTGTGATGCTAAGATGTATGCTGTGTATCTGGAGTGAGTGTGTCTGCATTCCTGCATTCTTGTGTGTTTGTACATGTCAGGTAAAACTGTGAAATGATTGTGACATGTCAAACAAATATCCATTTGAGTCACACCAACAGCCACTTGTTTCAGCTGCTTGATAAATGCGAGCAGAATAGAAGGCACTGTCTCCACTCTGATTCAAACTGAGCTTTACTGTATCTGCCCTGCACTGCTCCATATATGTGGCTTGGACTTTTGCCCATTTGCTTCCTTCCACAGTGCTTCCTTTCTTACATTATACTTAAATGTACAGTGGTAGCCATTGTGGGCATCTCCTGTACCTGATCCTATATGGCATTAGCGCTGCAAGAACATTTAAGATTACTTTCAAGATTAACTTTTTTGATCCTCTGGACAGAGTTGAGTCAGGGCAGCTGCAAAGAATGGCTGCAATGAAAAACAAAACTGTCGTCTATTTTAGATTTAGTGACATTGCGGACATGTGAGCAAGCATGAAAAAGTGCAGTAAATTCTACACAGCCTGTAAGATGGCAGGCTTTCTGAGGATCTGTTGGAGTAAACAGCTGAATGTACTGTATTTGCTGTAGTGTTTTATGTTGTAAGGAAAGACATACTTGTATTTTATGCTGAGAAAGTAACACATTGAAATATGAGAGTGAAGTGCAATGTGCAGAGAAAGCAGAACTTAGAGTTAGATGTTGGGTTTTTGGTCTGAAGTGTTTGAAAGCATCACAGAACAGTTGGGTTTGTGATGTACAGTAGCATTACAGGATTGCTGTGGACTGAAGTTTCAGCTCTGAGATCTTACTTGTTTTCTGACTGAATTAATCTGCTGCGTCACAGCTATTTTAACGAGTTGTTTGTTAAGCAATGTAATGACAGTTGTCTTCTCTTGTTTCTTTTCCCCTCTTTCTTCAGACCCAGTGGATGTGTTACGGGCTCTGCAGGTTCCCTCTCTCCCTGAGGGTGTGAAGAAAGTCCCAGGCTTCTGCACATCCCGTCGCTCCGGCAGCCCCGATCATGCTTACCGCATCACCAAGAAGGCCCAGATCTCTGCCCCCACCAAGCAGCTCTTCTCAGGTAGGCTTCAACTGGACTGGACATCAAGTCGTTTAAATATTTGGAGCTGCTGCTCTGTTAATTGCCACACGATTGTTGATCACTGAGGCTACACAACCCAAATGTAAATATTTTATATAGGTGTTGCACAAAGAGGTTCTCCCAGGATTTATTATTGCACTTTCATAATGTTGACTGACCTGTGAGATTCTGTAAGATTCAAAGAAGATGACATTCAGACATCATCAGGGTTATTTTCTCAGATTTTAGGCATCTCTAAGCAGCACCACAGAAGAAAGCAGTTCACAGTTTCACAAGTTTAGCAGGTCACCTCATAATATGTCGTTATAAGAAATGCTCTAATAAGTGTGACGTACACGATTGTTTTACTGTAAATCCAACTGATTGAACAGCTTTTGATTTTGCTTTATTGGTATGGCCATTTTGTGCTGCAAGGTGGATCGGTGGTTAGCGCTGTTGCCTCGGAGCTAGAAGGTCCCTGGTTTACGTACCCCCCGCGACCCTAGAGAGGATTAAGTGGTGTATAGATAATGGATGGATGGTGTGGCCATAGTTAAGTAAAATACCACCACAGCAGTCAGTGCAAGGTGTACAACATAAAAATGGCATTTCAATAAATGTTAGGCTGTGCATGTTATTTCATAGAATAGTATCATTAAATCAAAATATGTCATTTAAATCAAATCACTGGTTTCCCCCCTGGCTGTTACATGCTGTGATCATATTTTGCTGCTTCCACTGAAATGTTAGATAAGTAAATATAGCTTCACTCTGATGATGTCTTACATTTGAACATTTCTGTTTAATGTTATTTAAAGAACTTGTTTTTTTTTCTGTAAAAGTTCCTACATGTTGGTAAAAAAAAATAGAAAATGAGAAAGTTAACATTCGTGTGGCGTACATTACGCTAAACCAGTGTCGCAGTGCAAAATGAGGTTTGTATTTAATATTTATGATGAATTCCAGTGTGAAACCTGTAATTATAATTTACAAGTTGCCACTTATGTTTGGATGTATTTTAAACTGAGGAGGTAAATGAGGCTGTTGTGCCTTCTGCTAGATTGCTCATGGATATAAAGTATAATTATGTGTTGCAGTGCAGAAGCTCAGTTAAACTGTGTGGAAGAAGCCGCAGCAAATTAACTTCAGAATACCGTCTGACAAGCAGGAGTGAGGAAAGAAAAGAGAAAGTACCACTTATGTGGTTGTGAAGAAATTCTCATAAGTCAAAGTTGATTTTCAGCTCACTCTGTGAGGTTTAGCGTTCCCTCTCCAGCTGTTCCCACCTGTTATTATGTGTTCACATCTTCTATGCCAGCTTCACATGGATCTAGATTCTGATATTTTGTAATCCTAGCTGATTTCTTACTTTAAGCGCTCTAAGATCATTTTTATTGTCATTTTCACATTTTGTGTTATCCCTCATTCAGCACTACTTCTCCAGCTGTTAATCTGTCACACTTGAAACTTATTTATTTTGCCTTCTCTTGCATCACTTTCACTTCTCTGCTCTTTGCTCTGGAACAATCACAGTCACTCTACACACCGTCTTCCAGGGCATACTTACAATTACGTCTTTGTATTTAAGAATGTGACTTGTGTCTCATTACTGACCTATTCTCTTTATTTTTTCTTTTTCTAAAACACCCACAAGCCACTTTAGATATGACACATGTTTATGCACTCCTCTCTCTCCTCCCATCCATCCTGTCCTTCATCCATTAGGTCGTTTCCCGGAGAACTTCTCCATCATGGCTCTGGTTAAGGCCCAGGCCGGTCTCCAGGCCTTCCTCCTGTCCATCTACAGCGAGCAGGGCATCCAGCAGCTGGGCATTGAGCTGGGACGTTCACCTGTTTTCCTGTACGAGGACCAGAACGGCAAGCCAGCCCCAGAGGACTACCCACTCTTCAGAGGCGTCAATCTGGCTGATGGCAAGTCAGTAACCAGCGACAACCAGTTTGTGACTGGTTGAGATGACATGATTGGGGTCATGCGGGTGTGAGTGGTTGGGAAACGTATGTGTGTGAGTGTTGGTCGGGAATTATATATGATTTGGTGGGTGTCTTGCTTTACTTCAGAGCTGTAGTCACATTACACATTTATTTGCCTGCGATTCCTCCTCCTTGTCTCTAGGTGGCATCGCATCGCTATCTCTGTTTCCAAGAAAAACGTGACACTGCTGCTGGACTGCAAGAAGAAGATGACCCGCGCTTTGCCCCGTGGCAACAACGCGGAGGTCGACACCAACGGCATCACAGTGTTTGGAGCTCGTCTGCTCGATGAGGAGGTTTTCCAGGTGAGGGAATTTATAAGCACGATCAGCAAGTGACAAACTGTGGCTGGGTGCTGGTTAAATGACAGTGAGTGCAACTTCAAAATCTGAACAGACAAATCTTGTTTTTGCTGATGCTTTATTTACCAAGCTGTTGCTATATCTGTTTTTGTTTTTTTTTTTTGCACAGGGAGACATCCAGCAACTGCTGATTGCCTCCAACCCTCAGGCTGCTTATGACTTCTGTGAACACTACAGCCCTGACTGTGACTCCCCTCTGCCCAAGACCCAGGCTCAGGACCCCAACACATACGTGAGTAAACATCACAAAACAAGTTTGTGCACAGACGTATGCAATCAAAATTTGCTCTTTTACACAAAAGAAAGCCAAACACGTGACCTCTATTGGGAATAGTTATCTGGAAGCCTTTCTGCAGAGTAGGGCTACTTGCCTTTTAAATTTTACATGCACTCTTTTACCAAGTGTAAAGTTTACAACAAGGGTTGTTCACACAAAGTAAACTCGCAGCTACACATGAATCCCATAGCGCTTTCAAGATTACTGAGTTGCAGAGTGAATAACCTCTAACTGTCTCTGCCGCTGTATGCTCCCAATTCATTCATAAAAGTGTAGGCTCATCTGTAGCTCCAATAAAGCCGACCTAAACAGAATCTGTGGACTTTGTTTACTTTTCTGGGGCATTTTTCAAAGATGAAATTACTTGGAGTCAGAAAACAAATCAGTTATTCACTAAATTGAATGGAAAACATGGAGAAATCTTAAAATCAGGAAAAGATACAAGCAGGAATATTATTGATATAAATTTCTGTAAAGATATAAATGATATAAATATAATGATAAATTTCTGTAAAGGCCATCAGAATGCCAGATCATGGTTGTCAATTACTAGATTCTTCTGGCAACTCCACTTTTCATCTTGTAAACTGGCACTATGGCCCAGTAGTTAGCAATAAAAAAAGATCCTTCAAACTTCTCTGTCAAGGTTGTTACACTGTCCTCCCGATGTTCCCTGGTTTCCCCTCACTTGGAAGTGTTAAAATGAACTGATTTGATTTGAAATTTAGTTTGAAAAATGTATTTTTTTGGTTTGGAAAGCTAGAATACTTAAAAATGTGGTTTTATAGTAAAAAAACAAATGCCGAATATACACCATTTCTCTGAAAATAAAGTCCACAGGTTGAGTTTGGGTCCTCTGATAATGTCATCAAAGTGCTGCTCCCCCTTTCTGTCTTCCTCACGCATCCTCGTCATCAGCAACAGTTTGTATCCATCCACTTTCCTCCTCACCTCAACAGTCTGTGTGTCCCTCAGGTCACTAAGGAAAGCAGAGGCATTGTCATATCATACACTTGTAAAAAAAAAAAAAACTGACACATTTTCTATCATTTTTGTACACTTGAGCTGTTACAGCAGTGAATTAGTCGTCACTGTTTTTTCCTCTATCGCAATGGAACACAGAAAGTTAGTAGAAAGAGGATGATACAAGCCAACATAGCGTCTCTCCCCATTTTTTTTCTCATGGATTGAAAGAAAGAGGACTGGTTCAGTACATCAAACATGCAAATGATGTTAAATTCTGATTGGTTTCCTGCTTAAATTGAGACATATAAGAATTTGGTTGGAGATGGCTTAAGGTGGAGCCTTACTGAGACTGGTTGTGCACATGACATGCATTGTAGGCTTTGCAAGCTCTCCCTCATTCTTTTTCTATCAAAAACATGCTGATATTTGGGAGCTGGCAGTTCCCTGACACTAGTTGTATCACAGAACTAAAGTAGCAAATGACTTTCATCTGCATTCATCCATCCGAAGTACATGAGCTTTGTTTTATAAGCCTGCATGCCTGATCTTAAACAAGTATAAATTGTCAGTCACTGTACAGAGCCCCGACGCCTCGTGTCCCAAACCCTGTCATGTTGATGCTGTTGAGATGACTGCTTTTTGAATGAATATAAATCAATGTGTGGTTTTATTCATTAGTTTCCACTATTGCTATATTTATTTTTGCTGTTTTCTCATTCATCAAGACTGCCTGTGTTGGGACATTTTTTTAATTTAAAGACTTTTAACCAGCCGCACAGACTCTCTGATGAATGGAAAAATGAAGGCTTTGCATTTTGTCATCATCCCCTTTGCTGTCTCCTGCCCCCTATCATTATGCCTTTTTGTCCCCTCTTGCTGTTTCGTGCCACATTCACCTCTCTTCCTCTTTGCCCTCATTTTATCCCCCTGTGGCCTCTGCAACCCCCCTTCATCCCTCCTCTTTTCATCTCTTCTTCATGCTTTCATGCACCTTCCTCCCTGCTGTCAACCCATCCCTATACCTTCCATTCTTTCCATCTTTCAATCCATCCATCCCTCCATCTCTCTCAGTACTTTGATGAGGAGCAGGATGACCATGAATATCCCTATTATTATGAGGAAACAACAGGCATTCCCTCCTCCTCTGCACCCCCCTCTCCCCAACCTGGGGCCCCCAACCAACAGGTAAAGAGGGAGCAAGAGAGAGGGAAAACACGAGCGGGGTTTGTGGAAGGGAAGGAGGATGAGAGAGAGAGGTATTTAAACAAAAAACAGTTGCATAATACATGATTGTTAGTTTGCTAAAATACTTGAGTGTAATCTAAATTCACATCCAACGTTTCCTTAAACAGTTGTTTCAAACGTTTCACTTTTAGCGCTCCACATGCCTCTCTCGTCCCTCATCACTCCATACCTCCCTCGTTTTATTTACATCACGCCTCTTCTATAATCCAGATTGACCTCTTACACATCCACCTAATCAACACCGTCTCCATCATACAGGATTAACTTTGCTCCTTGTGTTGTTTTTTGTCCTCATGTCATTTACGTGTTGTTATATATGTTCGTGTGTTCACATGTGGCCAAATGGGGGCACTGGGGCGGTGAAGGTGCAGCTGTGTTGTCATACACACACATGCAGTTTTCTCTCAGATCCTCATCCACTCAGTATTCCAGTATGCTCTCCTACTTTATATGTATGTCCTGTCCTCTTCTACCTTAAACCTAACCAAAATACCTTTTCACAAAGATCGTGAAAGCCTTTTGAGAATTCAAGGAGGAAAGGTTCCACAAAACTGTCTCAGTACATATCACAAGAACAAAGCTGTATGAAATTATCTCAACCATGTCACATGGTAAAGGAAATACCCTACCATTTGATTATCATATAAACTGGACTTTGTGAGACTGGTAAGACAGTTTATCTTAAATCTTCTGAGACTTAAATTTGTGGGTCTGTTGACATCACATATCAACACAATGGATTACATGATGACTGGTTGTTTTGTCCTTGATGACAAAGTGACCACATACAAATACCAATTAGAGAAAATGTCAGAGTAGCCACGTTTTAATCTGATCTTAAATAGTCTTGTAAGACTATAGGTGGGGTTTGTCACACCATGGGTGTTAAGTTGATAATCACAGAGCAACATAATTATTTGGTTTTCAAATGCTTTCCTGTGGTTGCCTGGAATTTCTCACACTCAGTGCATGTTTTTTTTGTGACAAACCCCACCCACTCAGCTTCACATTTCGTCACACAAAACTATTTGACCGGGCTACTTCCACAGGTGTCTGTATATCCTGTTACTTGCATGATTTCTTCAGTGTTTTGGAGGATGTCATTGCATGCACCTACTGTACTTCTGCATCCCAATTTTTCAGTCGATATGGGAATATTAATGCACATGTTTTTGTGTTGGTAAATACATTCATGGTTGCACATCTGACCTTTGTATGGCATACATGACATACATGTATGCCCCAGTCTGTCTCCTTTAAATCTGTTTGTTTATTGCATATCTGAGAAGTGTATATTCCCCTTGGTAGCCTGTTTTTCCTTCACACTATATTATTTGAGTTTTTTTTTTCTTTTTCTACAATTGTAATTGCATGTATTTGTATTTCAGCAGCATGTTTGGTAAGAATTAATGTACAGTATTTTTTATTTTTGTGGTTTTATGTGACTAACATGCACTTGCATGCCAGCCTGGCAACTATGCTTCTTCTATTGCATGGCTAAACAGCAGCAATCTTCTCTGTCTTACAGCTGGACTGCTTAGTGTGTTATAGCACCGCAGGTCAGTGCATCAGTGGCGTGTATGTTTTGTGTGTGTGCATGTGTGTCTTTAAATTCTGTGTGCGTGTGTTCAGCAGCCAGCTTTACCTGACCAGTCACACCCTCAGTGCCTCTGCCAAACCACGGCCTCCAGTTCTTATTTGCACATTGATGCTGCTTTGTCATTTAATATTGGGAATGGCATTACTGGAGAGATCAGCAAAAACATTTCAAATAACTTGATACAACTACATAAAATTTCTCAAATTCCTGTGTTATGTGAAATCAATGTTTTTTAAGTTCTTTATTAGATGTGTTTTTAAAACTTAACTATTATTAGATATTATTCCTCTGCTGTATCCAGTAATGCCTGTACAGTCTCAGTAAATCATCCGAGCCTTAGCCATCTTTATGTCATTGTTTCTCAAAACAACCACTCTTGTCTTTCTCTCTCCTTCTGTCCATCCCTTGTTTGTGCTTTTCACCCCCCTCCCAACCCCTCCATGTACTTGTATCTTCCACTCTCCCTCTGTGTCTTTGTCAATATGCACTTTTACATACCAAACAATCTCTCAACCAAACTAAAATCATGGCTATTAGAAGAAGACAGTCAATGGAAAAGCAGCCCCCACTAAATCCACCCCTGCAAAAGCCAAACCCACTCCACCTAAATCAGCCAAGACTGGACCATACAAACTTGTAGTCAAGCCACCTATGCCTACCAAAGCTCCCAAGTCTTCCACAGCCAAGCCATCCAAAGCAAAACCCACTGCAGTAGAGATCCTCTTGTCTAAAATCAAGCCAACTGCAGCGGCTAAATCTAAGCCCACAGCTGCCCCAGCTAAGAATGGCAATGGTAAACCTGGTGCTGAGAAGAAAGCAAATGGTGCAGCTAAAGCCAATGGCAATGGAAACGCATCAGCAACAAAATCTAATGGCAATGGCAAAGCTGCAGCTGAGGCCAAGCCTACAGCTGAGGCCAAAGTGAATGGAAACGGCAATGGCAAGGTTGTAGCCGAAAAGAAAGTCAATGGTAATGGAAATGCAAAATCCTCAGCAGAAAAGAAAGCCAATGGAAATGGAAAAGCCACTGTTGTGTCTAAGGCAAATGGCAATGGCAATGGCAAAGCTACGGCAGAGAAGAAAGCCAATGGAAATGGCAAAACTACCATTGAGGTTAAAGAAGTTAAAGTCAAAGTCAATGGCAAAGCTGAGAATAAAGTCAATGGTGAGGCTAAGGCTAATGTCAACACCAAAGTTACTACTGTGGTAGAAAAGAAAGCTGTTGGAAATGGAGCTACAAATCAGGCAAAAGTTGAAACCACTACAAAAACAAAGACTGAGAAAGTTGTTAAAGTAGAAAAGACTGTGGTCACTGCAGCTAAATCAGCTGTCAAAGTGGAAGCTACTAAGGCACCTAAACCCACAAAAGCCTCAAAACCAGAACCTACAAAAATGGCAAAGGTTGTGGCTACTAAAGCTCCAGCAGCAAAACTCCAAGGGAAGGCAGAGGTCAAAGAGGTTACCAAGGTTAAAACTGTGGTCACCAAAGTCCCTCTGGTCAAATCAACAGTGAGCAAAACAGTCAAGAGCATTGTCAAGAAGATTTCCATCCCAACGAAAGTAGCTCCAACATCTGCCCCTGTCCGGCCCACGCCACCCAGACCCACGAAATCCAAGGTTGTAGTGGACGTTAATGTCAAATCCCAGCACAAACCTTTTCCACCGTTTGGCAAGGCTGTGCTGAGTGGAACTGCAGTCCCAGCGAAGAAAAATACCAACGGTTATCAACAGGTACAACAGGAGGGCTCATGTTTGAGTCAGAATGTCCAGAGTTGTATGTTCCACCCTTCCAATCTCTATACCAGCTCTTTACATCATCCAGGATCTGCAACAAAATTTTTGTGAAAACTAATGTTTTTAATGTTGACAGTTTTGGATGACCTCCTATATAAACAGTTTGTTCTTTCAGTAAGTGGCTAAATTTTGATGCAAATCCCTGATGATGCAACAATCTGGTCTTCAGAATGGAAGTTGGTTCATACCAAGCTGGTCACTTTCTCCTCTGTTCATATATCATATGATCTTCACGATCACCCCAACTTCTCCATATGATATGGTACAGCGGTGCACATTGAAGCATGGCTAACTGTACAGTTTCATTGTTCTTTACTTCACTTGATACTCCTACCTTCAAGCTGCTCAGAACTGGATCTCAGAACCTGAATACGCTGCAGCACTCCATCTCTGTCTTTCCAGGGAAACCATTAATTACCAGTCAAATGAATGAGCATGGATTTCTATGACACAGAAACTAAGACTGAGAAAACACAAATACTATCACATTTTACACATGTGCAACACAACAAACAAACTCCCCTGTCACATTCTCTCTCTTTGTTTTTTAAGTACCTGTGTTTTCTCTCTGACATCTGTCTTCCTGTCTCGTCATATTTCGTATCAAATATGAATAAAGCAGCTTCACAGAAACTAAAAGCAAGCTTCAAGCATGCTTTTATTAGAAGTTCAGCTTCATTATGTAGTCTAATGTGAAGCCAACATGCTTCAAGGTAAAGAGACAATGAGGTCATGAGTGGGTTCTGGAAAATTTATAGCAGGGGATAACTGTTACTCTAAAACAGCTGAAGCATTTTCTGTGAGGCTGCTGATTGGGGTTGTCTCTCTGTTTTCTAGTCTTGGGTGAAACTAGACATCCCAAAGCATCAAGCTATGATGTTTTCATCTGATGGGATGGATAGAGGGTCCCATTTCTACTTCCAACAAGAGCAGACTTCATCCTTTCATGAATCTTGGCTTATGAGCTTTAAAAAGCTAAAATGGTTCAATAGCAAAATGAAAAGAAATCTCAGCCAAGTAGTCTCACTGACTCCCTAAATCTTGCATCTGGCAAAATTTATAGTCACTGAGATTCTGAAACAACCTGAAATTTCTTTTCTGAAATGAATCTTTACAACTATATTTAAAATGTGAGTTGCCATTAAAAGTTCTATGCCTCTGGCAACCACAATTTTATGATGTGTTCCATTTTCTTCTTTTAACTCATCGTCACCCAGAAGCAGACTTTGAACTAACCACGCTCTCCCAATCAAATCTGCTTACTTCCTCCCTGCTCCCCACTTCATGTCAACTTGACCAATCAGGATGTAGACACTGAATATTCTGAGGCTGGCCACACCCCTACAGAGACTGATTATTACTATGAGGAGACGGTCCCACTACCAGAGGGTGAGGTGATTGGACAAGACGAGAACTCTTTACAGGTAAAAAGAAAATGACACACTGATCAGTGACACACATCAAGGCATGACATAGTCAAAGAAGACCAAGAGAAAACATAAAAAGAAAATGTAAATTAAATCTCCAGATAGAATAATTTGCACACTAAAATACAACAGAAGTTAATAATCAACACACTGACAAAATCAAGAATAATCACCTTAATTCAAGAGATTTCCATCACCAAAGGGAGAAGATGAAGTTATACCTGTGTGGTGGTGAGCCCAGTCTTAACCAAGTAGTTTAACCAAGTAGTTAGAGCTCAGTTTCTCCCTTCACACTTTTCTAACCACACATCACTGTTTTGTTGGCACCGATGCCAAATGACAAGACATAAGAGAAAACCTCTTTCAAAAGAGAATGCACCACATTCATCTGCTTGTATCATCAAACATTGTTATGTGGTTCCCCTTTTCCCTAACAGCAAGATTCCTGTTTTGTTCTCATCTCAAGATCCCTTGTTGATCTGGCTGTCATCTTGACATAAGAACAAAAATCTTGTGAAAAAGGGATCCACATAAGAATATCTGATGTGCAGTTTTAACCGCAGCAACAAAGGGGGATGAATATAATGCATTCTTGTTTGAGAGAAAAATCTGACTGAACTAGAGAATACAGTAGTTGCTGATGGTTTCTTCACAGCCCTAAAGTATCAGAATTTGAGAATGAGTTTCTCACAGTTCTGACCTGTTTCTCACAGTTCATTTGTTTTGACAATAACCCATATTGTCTTCTTTACCATTTTATGTACATTAGCTAACTTTGATGACTGTGTTTTGTTTTCCAATTTTAATGGTCAGAATGTTTTTGCGACTGTTCTGGTGAGAAATTTTTGGTTTGTTAGGAAAAAAATGTAAACAGTATTGGTAATTTGTTGTGATACTGCTGGTACTATTCATGATTATATGAGATAACGGTACACCATAATCCACTGGATTCATTTGTTTTTAAAACATCCATGGTAAGTAAAAAGAAAAAGAAAATAACATAGAACTTGCTTTGCATAGCAGCAGCAGCCTGTTTTTACATAGTGTTTCATATCAGTTCTGTGTGTTCATGGACTATGCAAGCATAGCCTTGACATTGAAAGTGTCCTTTCTCTCCCTCTTTTCATACCAAAGTCTTAATGTTAGACAGTATACTTGGACAGATTTGGAGAAATCGATTGACCATCACACACAAGCTGATAATGATGCTTTGGTGAAAACATACCATTATAAGCTAAACCATAGATGATTAACAGCAGATTTAGGGTTGCAGGATAAATCTGCGAATCCTTAATTCACCCCACAGTCTGCCAGATGTCTTTTTGTTGTCTGTCCTTATGTCACTGTTTATTTACAAAAGGTAAGACTTATTTCTTTCCATATGCCTCCCTCTTTTACTCCCCCATTGAATCATTCTATATTTCTCTTTCACTAACATTTTCTCATCCTGCACACTTCTCCCTCCTCCTCTGACTGTTCCATCCTCCTCTTGCATCTTTATTTTCCTTTGCTTGAATCATTCTCTCGTGCCCCTCTATCTGTCCCGTTGCGGCTCTGATAAACCCAAACGCAGCCCCAGGTGGAACCAGCACTGGTGGGAGAGGAGGTAGATGCCACCAAAGCAGGCAGCGTGGGCGAGGAGGTCTTCACTGAGGAGTATGTGACTGGGGACGTGGGCCTCAAGGAATACGACTATTCCTACAGGGACTACAATGATCCATTACCAGAGACTGGAGAGGTTGATGCCAACATGGGCCCCGCCCTGTCCGCTGTGACAGATGAGGGAGGCGTAAGTTGTTTTGCTTCAAAGGCAAAAGAAATAGCCAAAAACACAAAATCACTTTCAACCAAATCTGAATCCTAGTCCTTGTTGAATTGTATTCAGTGTTCTCTCAAATGACTTAATTGAGGTTGCCTTGTGTCAAATGCCATTGTGTGCATTATTGTGTGTTTTTTAATACTCAGACCAATCAGTCTTTACCCATGATGAACTATTTTAGCATGTCATAGAAAGCTCTCGCTGAAAGGCTGACATACGGATGGGCTGTACCCATAATTGCCTTTGTGCTTTATTGTGAACTTAGATAGACCTAAAGGTTAAAAATGAATGTAGAAAGCTCAGCAGGATCAGCTGTAACTTTGACAGCAGTTGCTTATTTAGATGTGACTTCATAAATGAACCTTCACTCCACCCTTATATCAATTTTATCTTTACACATCTTTTAGTTTCCCACTCAGAGTAGGAGGGCCACCATAATATATATAAATGTAATTTTATACCAGGCAAGCTCAATCAGTCACAGAGAAACATGTTCGAATGCATTTCAAGGCCTAGTCTCTAGATCACTGGTTGAAATTGGTTTTATTTTATACAGTGTATACCGAGCAATCAGGACCCCAGGAAGTATTGCGATTACTGTTGTAGAAGCTACTAATAAGCCCAAACAGTAACTTGAACTGCCATATATACTGTATAAATGGTATTTGGAAGTGCAACAGTAATCAACTGCAAATGCCATTTGTGTCAGTGTATGGCTTCATTTAGTGGTGCTAAGCCCAGATGATTTAAAAACAGAGTCTACAGTAATGGACCTGCACTTTGGAGAACCACTGAATCTGGTACTTGGATGAAACCTTATGCCTTTATCACAAGCAAAACAGGTTTTCATTTTATCATTCTACTTTCAACTCTGGTATAGTAATGTTTGATATAATGTAGTAAACTCATGTGATTGTCTCTAAGAACTGACACATACTGTGAGTTGGTTTGTTTCTGTTTTTTGTTTTCGCTTTGTGTGTGTGTGAGTACCTCTATACTGACTGTGCTATGTTGTTGGCTACATGTGTGTTTTCCTCAGGCTGCCGTTAGAGGCCAGAAAGGAGAGAAAGGAGAGCCTGCCGTCTTGGAGCCTGTGAGTTACTGACTGTTTTTTTAGCCGCCTTTCCTGAACAGGTGTTTTCAGACCTGCTGAGCTTGTGACAGAAAGAAAAAAACTTTTGACAATCCTTTTCCAGAAGCTACAGGCACCAGTGACCTTCCAGTTTTGCTTTTTTAACTCCGAAGCATTTGCTCATCATTTAGCTGCTATAGCCACAGTAATCCAAAGATAGATCATGACATAATTGTAACACATGGCAGAATAAGCATACTTGTTCTGTAATAAAACTCAAGTAGGTAGGAAAGAAAGAAGGTGGGGATGCACAATACATACACCCAATAACGCAGAGCAATTTTTGCAGGAGATAGGGCCACCGCTGAAAACTCAGTTCTGCCTTGGGATTTTTGTCTTTCTGTGCTCTGCTTCGTATCACTGACTGTTTGCATGAAAATGGGGCTGAAAGAACGGCATTTATAAATCACGTTTAGAAACAGCGCTTATGAATGGTGTTTACAAACTTTACGGACAGCAAGGAAAAGGAGACTGTTTTTGATAGATTATCTGTAAGTTCAGCAAAATCCACCTATAAACAGACAGTACAAATATTCAATACTTAAGTGCTTGTAAACTTTGAGGACGAAACCAAATAGTCCCTTATTCTATCTGCCATCAGTACCTGTTCAGCAGCAGAGGAAGAACAGGAGAGAATGGCATGAGGTCTGAACCATCAAGTAGTTGAAGACTGTGCAACGTAGCTGTTGTGCTTTTTGTAGCTTATTTATGCTTGTCAATAAGGAGATAAGGTCTAGTATTGTTATTCTACATGTTGAAAAAATAAACAGTGGTGATAAACAAATTAGCAATAATTTTATGTCATTATTATTGTAAGGTTGATGGAGGCTCTCTGAGCTTTAATGGTTTATTTGAACAGTATACTCAGGATATACCTGTTGTTGTTTTTCCTCTTCACATTTCTTAATTTGTATTTATTTACTTAAAGATTACATGTTATTGTATCATTGTTGCTCACACTGTCTTGGTCAACCCTGACATTAATATTGGGGAATCCCTAGTAGAAGATGGCAGAAAATCAAAGTTTCTCAGTAAACCAGCAAAGAAACAGAACATGTTTCCATCTTTTATCAAGTGCATATTTCACTCCCCATGTGCAGCTCTTGAAAGGGACAAATCTTCCAGAAGGATTCAAACATGTTTTTTAGTTAAACGTAGTCATACTGGTTAAGCTTCATCGCAAACAAGCAAATGTTATCACTCAAAATCAGATGAGTCTGATTAATACAGTTATGATTTCTGTAATGTACAGACTTGCATCTTTCTATTCTCATGTTTTTGGCTTCACACATAACATTTTTGACTTATTTTGACTCTTGCAGGGTATGCTGATTGAAGGCCCTCCTGGACCTGAGGGACCTGCTGTAAGTCAATGAAGATTATTCTCTCGTTTTTTTTTTTGCTAAAAAACAGTACAAAACATTTTACTTCCCTCTACATATTATGTTACTACTTGAGTTTGCTATTCTAGGTCTGCACTTTAATTCTTTGAGGTATTAATTATTTTTGGCTCAGTAGGAGTGTAATATTCTTGTTTCTAGTAATAGGCAGTGCTCTGGCATGCACACTTCTCTATAGCAAGGTTGTGACATTTTTAAAAAGTATTTCTTGATTGTTAAGTATGTGGTATAGATTTCCTGTCCAACACTGAAATAGGCCTGCACTTTCCACTGAAGCATACTTTACCACTGCCTCTTCTCCGTCAGGGTCCTACCGGACCTCCTGGCTCTTCTGGACCTCCTGGCTCTGTTGGTGACCCTGGAGAGAGGGTGAGTGTTTTCTCTTTATCTCAAGAAGTGCAGGTTTGTAGAGACATTGAACCCATGCATTGCCGATTCTGAGTCATGACTGATTATAGTAGATGCGTTTTTCAAAAGTACATTTCATTTCTAATTATTTTTCTCTCGCCTGTGAGCTCATCTCTCCGTCTCTCCATCCTCCAGGGCCCTCCTGGTAAGCATGGCCTGCCTGGAGCTGATGGAGTCCCTGGACCTCCTGGAACCTCAGTCATGCTGCCTGTAAGTCAGCTGCAACATTTGTTCCTTCATCAGAAATCGGTACTCTCCAAGTGTTCTCCAACATGAACAAATGTTTTGTGGATACCTTTAAGATATTTGCCCATGTTCCATAGTAGGATTAATGCTGTATTGCCTGTACACATACCTGTTGTAATTGGTTGATGATGAGTTTTTTTTAAAAATATCTATACATTATCAGTGTTCTGATGCATAGTCTAAATGCTATTTCCTTTTCTTTTTGCAGTTCCGTTTCGGTCAGAGTGGAGGAGATAAGGGTCCTGTCGTTTCTGCACAGGAAGCTCAGGCAGCAGCCATTTTGTCTCAGGCCAGGGTCGGTATTCACTTTTCACAAACCCATTCCAGTTGTTTCTTCTAAATGATCATATCAGTGGATTGTTGACACTTTGCAGTTGCCCAATATTATTACAGTCTTTGTAAGGACTTGTGTCCATTGATGTATAAATAAATGTGATTTGGTAGATATTAGTAACTAATGCACTTATTTACCATGAATCTTACATGTTTGCTTTATTAAAACAGCCCTTTTGAAATTGCCAAATACTCCCAAGTACCTACTCAATTTATGATATGATGCATAATACATAGAATAAAATATGTATACAACCAGTTAAAACATTTATTTTTATATAGGTATTATTATTATTATTATTATTGTCAGTAATTACCTTCAGCGTATAATAAACTGCATTAAGAGTAGCAGTAAGCAACATAAACAAATTCATTATTCCCTTACTGAAGACATAGTACACAGATGCTGTTGATAACATAAAAATAACAGAGGAGACCTCAAGCCTACGAATCCATAACTTCATAGCAACATGGACCATTAGCTGATGTTCACATCCAGAAGGATTTACATGATTTACACCAGCATTATGTGCAGCCATGTGCTTCCATGATTGTTGATTTTGAGGTGTTGTTCTCTCCAGATGGCTCTGAAAGGACCTCCTGGACCAATGGGATTCACTGGACGCCCTGGACCCCTGGTATGTCACCTGTCATTTGAACCTTACCTGTTCATGTCAAGACTGGTTGTCATTGCTAACTGTTACTTTTTATATGGAGTTTTATCTAATAATATGTCTCTTTTACACATTTTTTTTTTGTTATTTGCAAAAACAGCTTTTATTTTGTTTCACTTTACATGACATCTTCATGAAATGTTTGACAGGGTTTTTTTAATATGCTTGTGTCTGTTTCAGGGAAGTCCAGGAAGTCCTGGTTTGAAAGGAGAAGGTGGAGACCCTGGTCCTCAGGTAAAACACCGACTGTAACCAGACGTGACCTCTGACCTCATTTCCAATATCATTTAACCAATTTGTATGTAAAATATTGCGATGAGCTGACTTTTACAATACTGTATTATGTTTTAATTGGATTCCCTTAGTTCAGATATATGAGATCACATGTATCACAGGCATCTAATTTATTTGTCAGGGACCCAGGGGACCCCAGGGTTTGCTGGGACCTCCAGGCAAAGCAGGAAGAAGAGTGAGTATAAACAGCCAGTGGTGTTTTTATTAAGTTGTTTGTTGTGTTGTTTGCCCACCCCAAAAATGACCAGTTTAACAAAGTAACTATTGTTTCTCAAATTGAATCAGGGTCTGCTACAAGTTAAATACATTACATAAGAAGGATTTGTTATATGGATTACTGCCATAAGAAGGTTTTGGCACCTCTAGAAGTCCAGGATAGGTTTTTGTGAAACCTCTTATAGTTCTGCTATAGTCTTGTCTCATATACCGTATTACTTTAAAACATGTTCTTCCTCGGCTCCTGACAGGGTCGTGCTGGAGCTGATGGTGCCAGGGGAATGCCAGGAGAGACTGGAATTAAGGTACCCTCTCTATGCATGCTGTATGCAAATCAGAAGTCCAAAATCACCATTAAGGCATCGGCTCCCCTTGGGATACCTTCTAAAATACTATGCATATTATGCATGTGTGTCTCTCATAGGGCGACCGTGGTTTTGATGGTCTTCCTGGTTTGCCTGGTGACAAAGGACACAGGGTGAGTCAAACAGACACAGTTGTAATATTAAGGAAATAGATCGTCCTTAATTATTTATGACACACATGACTTCTAATACTTAAATGTCTGCTGTTCTGGTTGCTCACTCCTTCACTCTTTCATCTTATCAGGGTGACACAGGATCAATGGGACCACCTGGACCTCAAGGAGAGGACGGAGAGCGGGTACATAGATATGAAAAGGAATCTGGAATGATTCCAAAAAATCAATTTCTTTGCGTCACTCCATATCTGTTAACCTGCATCTCTCCATCCTTAGCAAGTTCTTTCTGTTTGTTTGTAGGGAGATGATGGGGATGTTGGACCCAGGGGTCTCCCAGGTGAACCAGTGAGTGTTTCCATGACAATGCATCTTTTTTTTTTTTTTTCCATTTATATGGTATTTGTGTGCCTGCTGTCTGTTATAAATTGCTTCCTAACTATACCTCGTACCTTATATTATTACCTTTGCACCTGTTGTTTCATAGTAATCATACCAGTGATAGTTTAGGGGATCTTCACTGTAATTATGTGCAGCACAGTTACAGAAAGGTGGAAAGTGCAGCCAGATGCTTCAGGATCACAGAACGTAGTATTTTTAGGACAACAATTACCAATACATAACACTATGAAGTAGTAATTGCTTGCAAGAAACACAAGAATGACAGTTCCCCTTTTGGTACTTGGTTTAAGAGTTTGTTCTTAAACAGTTTATTTTTGCTCATCGCATACCCATAAGTTGTCTCTTTTTATAGATTTTTTACATACACCTCCATTTCTATTAGGACGTCTCCACTATAATACATGGTTTTACTGCCTGATCTTGGCTTGCATGTGTGTGTGTGTGTGTGTGTGTGTGTGTGTGTGTGTGTGTGTCTGTCTCTTATGTGTTCTTCTGTGTGTGTTTCTAGGGACCTCGTGGTTTGCTCGGACCTAAAGGTCCTCCTGGAATCTCTGGACCTCCTGTGAGTAAAAACAATGTCAAACCACACTATACTGCTATGATTTTAGCACTATTGTTTTATCCCACTCTGACCACCAAACACCCACAAGCACCTCCTGAAACAACACGCTGTAGTCACATATAAAGACGGGGATATCCAACAATCTAAAAATGAACATGTTGTGTTCCCACAATCTCCTTAAAACAACGGCAGGATACTCAGCAGAAGCCATGGTTCAGGTAGCCAAGTCCCGACTATCCATTTGACACCCATTATATATATATGTACGAGAGCTTTTGGCTGAAGTGGTAGAGCTTGGCTTGTAAAAGAGCATTGCACTACAAGGCTAAAATGAACAGAACCAAGGATATTGTGTTTTTATGCCAAGCGTTCCTTTTGTTTCCATGTCAAAACCTCATGCCTGCTGACTGTTCACATCTAGTTAGGTGATTGTGGGTTGTGTTGATAACAGTTTGTGTAGCTTTAAGTTGCTAACCTCACATAACACTGCTGCAGAGGCCTGATAATGTCACTTTTTTCATTCCACTCCCCCACATTTATTCATTTTCAAACATGTTGGTCTTCACAACTAACGCTACCTCAAGTGATGTTTCTCATTTACAAAAGGTTTTGTGCAGTTCTTAGACATTTATGTGTAACACTTCTCCTTTAAGCAGCGCATTGTAAGTGCCTGCTAATTTCCACAAATGTAAAGACACTAATGACTTCATCAACATCTATAATTTGCTGTGAGTAACATTGAGCAAGACACAAGCAAGGATAATTGTAGTTCTCACTGCCAAAAGTGCTATGGATAGAAGTTGACACTTGAGTGTGTTTGTTATTAAAATATGAGCCTGTGTGTGAGCTGTTTTTTAATTTTTGTCCGTTCTTCTCTTTTCAGGGTGTTCGAGGAAACGATGGACCCCAAGGTCCCAAAGGAAACTTGGTCAGTAACCGCTATGATTACCTTGTGATCTAAACATTTACTTTTGAATCTACATATAATTGAATATCGTTGAGAACAGTTCAAATCAGAGCTCAATACAATAACTTTTAAAACTTATCTCATGGGTAATTCTACATAGATTCTGACTTATTCTATTGTTCCTGACTTTGCCATGTTGTTTCCTTTGAATGAATCATCACTTTATCTTCTTCTGTTTCTGTCTTTCAGGGTCCCCAAGGTGAGCCAGGACCTCCAGGTCAGCAGGGAACTTCAGGAACTCAGGTGAGGCTGAGAACAGTTGGCCAGTGTCACCTGCCTGTGAAATGAACCTCTTTCACTAAGTGGCTTTGTGCTTTGTACATGAGCTTGCACACAAAGATAATAGAAAACTGTAATGTTGACAATGTGTTTATTCCACACATTAAGCAAATGTCACAAATGTTGTTTTTATTTATTTTTTCAGGGAATGCCAGGACCTCAGGGAGCCATCGGACCTCCTGGAGAGAAAGTAAGAGACCCGACATTTATTGTAATACAAATACAATTATAAATACAAGTTACTCTGTATCAAAAGTATAGTAAGATATCAAAAGTTAAGTTCTCTGGCAACATCTATTTCACAAGCAACAGACGTATATTAGACTGGCCGGGATGGACTTTCTGTTTTTGCTTGTTAGACTTTCATCACTTATTAAAAAGAGGTGAGACTTTTGCAGGACATTCCGCATCCTGAAGTTGTCGCATTTTTTGTATTTACAAAAATACTGTTTGTGTGAGTGACACATAACGTAGTGAATGATTTTACAAAAGTAAAAATCAGTTAGATGTAAGTATGGAAGATGTTTGTTTAACGTGACAGGATAAGCAGAAGGTTCTTTAAAATCTGTGTGTGTTTCATTTATATATTTTTTGTCATATAAGATACTCACATATTCCATTTTGCATACTTCAAAAACAAATGTTCCAGAGAGTAACACTAAAGCAATCTTTAAAGATTTTTTTGAGAATTATTTTCCATCTACCTTGACAAATAAATAACTCACAAGATGAATTATGAAATTTTCATTCAGAGGGTCTGGACGTTACGAGCAGATGCACCTTTATCAAACATTTTATCTGTTAGATGTAACATAGCATGCAGTGTATAGCATCTCTACCACCCTGCAATTTAATATAGAAGTACTGTTTGGTGATGTTTTTTTGGTGTCCATCATTTCTGTGGACTTTTAAACATCAGAAGACGAATGTCACTCTCATACCTGTCAGTTAAATATGAGGCTACATCCAGCATTGGATTAACTTCACATACTGGAAACAGCTACCATGACTCAGTTCACTTCCTAAACAAACTTCACGCAGCACCTGTAGCATTAAACAACTGTGAAAATGTGCCAGTGGTTTCAGCACTCTTTATAGAATGCCCCATCGTACCATGCATCTAATCACTGATCAGTGCACTTTGGTTTCACTCATAGCTCAGTCATACAACTCATACATGTGTGGCACCTGTCTGCTAGAAAGTTATAAAACCTACAGAGACCTTCATCCAGCTCAGGAGAAGCGAAATGATACAGTCAGATTCATTGTCTGCTTATCTGTGATGTAACCTAAAGTGCATCTAGATTTTAATCAGATGTAAGATGCTTGATATAAGGACTATTTAACTGGTGACCACCCTTTCTTCTTCTCCAGGGTCCCACTGGAAAACCAGGTCTGCCAGGAATGCCTGGAGCTGATGGCCCTCCTGTACGTTTGCCTTTTTTCTTTTTTCTTTTTATTGTTACAGCTGAACTAAGTTGAATCCATCAACACTGGATATCCTTCCTAAGACTTGAGCTCTCTGTCCTTCCTTCTCAGGGTCACCCAGGAAAAGAGGGGCCTACTGGCACCAAAGGAAACCACGTGGGTGTCAATCATAACTTTGTCATACCAAACTTAGTGATTATGACTCAAAGCAGGAGAAATGTGTTGTATCTGAAACCTTTTTAGTCAAATGTGCACTTACTGTAGGTTTTTTTGTGCAGTTACTCTAAGTGTGTGTTTGTGGTTGTCGCTATTCATTTAAAAATAACACACATATTTACTTTAAGGTACATATTGTGCTCTAAACTTGCCCTTTCTTTGGCCTTATCTAGGGTCCCAATGGTCCCCAGGGAGCTATTGGCTATCCTGGCCCTCGTGGCATCAAGGTGAGTGCATTTAATTGTAGAATCAGTTAATATAGATATTTTTCTAATATTTTGTACTGCTTGAACCAATATTCGTTTCTGAGGAGTGGGTTTAGTATTGCATGTGCAGATAGACTGAACCAGCATTGTATTCCTGAGCCTTTTGTTGCACTGATTATGTAATAATATGATTTCAGGGAGCTCAAGGAATCCGTGGATTGAAGGGCCACAAGGGAGAGAAGGTCAGTGATTCGTCACAGTTCAATACTTTAAAATGTACTGACAGCTGAATTTTTGAGTCAGTGCACAATAACAGTGTGTTAAATAAACAGGACACATTCAGGTGTTTGTGTAAAAGACTTTTGAAGTTTAAATTGATCATCAGTTTGAGTTTATGTACAACTGTGTTCTTTGTTTTGGTTTGTTTTTGTGTTTAGGGAGAAGATGGTTTCCCAGGAATTAAAGGAGATTTTGGTGTCAAAGGAGAGAGGGTAAGATGGAATATTGGAGTAGCTGGTTGGTTGGTTTAATTAATAATAATGGTATAATTAATTATAATAATGAGAATAATGAATGGATGAATGAGGGATTATGATGATTAATGTGTTCATCTTATTCCCCAACATTTTTTCTATATTTTCTGAGTTATTATTCAACATGTATATTGCATAGATTTATTCTGAATGGTTTTGTTTTGCCTCTTGCTGGCAGGGTGAGCTGGGAGTTCCAGGACCCAGAGGAGAGGATGGTCCAGAGGGGCCAAAGGGTCGCATTGGACCCCCTGGTGAGATTGGACCTCTTGGACTGGTTGGAGAGAAGGTACGACTTGTTTAATCTCAACAGGATTACACCGTTTGCTCCATATTCTTCAGGATACAATTTCCTACTTTATTATTCATTTAAAGTGAAATTGTGACTTTCAGGTTTTTGCTCCACAAAAACGGATTATTTCCACAAACTTTCCATTTTTTCAAAATTGTAAAGGAAATGTCACTGTGCTGCCCTCTTGTGGTTGTATCCGTACTTCAATGAAACAGATGTGACAGTTTATTTTATAATTATTGTGAAGGTGTATTTGATAGCTATTTAGTTTTCTCATGAGATTTTCGGGGGGATTTCAGATTCTGCCATTTACTTAAAGTTTCTGCAAGACATTTTGTGATAAATTTAATTACAAGATAGTGTGAATACAGCACATCTGAGCATAATATCAGTTTCTTCATATTTACATTTGGCGTTAAGGGTTAAACTCTTGAATTTAAGCACATTGTGATGCAGTTTGTTGTGATTAATGATGTCAAAATGTGTTTCCAGGGTAAACTTGGTGTACCTGGACTTCCTGGATATCCTGGAAGACAAGGACCCAAGGTAAGAAAAGCACACATACAACATCTATTATTCACACTGACTCATTTTTCCATCCAGGATGAGTTCTTTCTCACACGAGTGCTCACCAGGTTTCCATGGGATGCTAAACAGTATTGATGCTGGTTTGTTTTAGGGATCTCTTGGATTCCCTGGATTCCCTGGTTCAAACGGCGAGAAAGGAACAAGGGTAAGATGGTGATTCAGTGGAAGAGTTTGCTTCACAAGTCAGACTAAGTTTGTGAGCAACCAATGTGCAGTTTCACTCTGTGTAATTGTGTCTGTTTTTTTCTTTCTTTCTTTCTTCAGGGCCTTACTGGCAAAGCAGGACCAAGAGGACAAAGAGGACCAACGGTACAATTTCACATTTATTCATTCATTCAGTTTCAAAAGCTGTTTAGCTCAGTGTTTATGTCAGCTAGCGGTGTTAAACAGTAACTCAAGACCAGCACAAAAAGCAGAGTTTCACTGTCCGTTTCACATACGTCACCACTAAAGACGCTGGCCGCAGTGTGTGATGTCAGGGTCCTGGAGTTCACCTGTACAGGGTTAGAAAATAAACCACCAGAGGCCAGCAGAGACGAGATTTTCAGAGCACATTGAGTTATTCTTTAAGCACTGATTTAACATGAGTTGATTAATTATTCAATCATTAGTAAAGTCACAGGAAGGGTTAGGGTTAGGGTCACAGGAAGTATCACATTTACATCATTTTGATTGTCATTTGTAAGACTTTTTTTGTGTGACCATCAGGGCCCCAGAGGGCAGAGAGGACCGAGGGGCGCAACTGGGAAACCAGGAGCAAAGGTTTGTCTGCACAGCGCACTTATCCAAATTGTGCTTAGAAACACTGTATAAACGTTGTGTAGTATACTTTCCTATTGTTGAGTATTTTAATGATTATTCTTGTCAATGTTCATGTTCTGTTATTGCTAATATCACTGTCTATATTATTATTATTACTCTATATTTATATTGTACCAAAATCTCAAAGCTGGATATATTGATTGATGTTTTTTTACTATATTTTTTTTCTACAATGTACAATAATTTTTTTCTACAATGTACAATAAACAATTCAAATAAATAATAATAATGAATAATAAATAATAATGCAGCACATTTTTTTATATTTTAGGCACATTTTTATCCTCAGAGAACTATTATTTGCCATCACTACCAAAAACACTGGAAGCCATTTATTTTTTTATTTTGATATTTCTCTAGACCTTTTCCTGAAAGTAACTTGGCTAAAAAAATTGTTGAAACTTATCTTGAGAGACTAGATATATTCAGGAACAATAGTCTGTGATCTGGAACATATCTTCTTTTATTTATTTAGTTTTTTATTTTTATTTTTGCCTATCAGGGAACATCTGGAAGTGATGGCCCTCCTGGTCCTCCTGGAGAGAGGGTGAGCACTTTATTTTTGGAAATCATGTCCTGCTGCTCAGCGTTCTGTTAAAGCTTCCATTCAAATTTGTACCCATAGATATATTTTTGTAAGACATTGAACTGTTCCTACGATATTCTTACGTGTTCTTATTATACCTCATTTCATCTAACCAGGGATTGCCTGGACCTCAGGGAGCCAACGGTTTCCCCGGACCAAAGGGACCTCCTGTAAGAAAATATTTTTTAATATCAGTTTCTTTCTAGACTGATTGTAGGTAATGTGCACATTGAAGGTGGTGTCCCTCAGCTGTTCATTGGAGTTCTTTATTCCATCACTGTCCTCAGTCTTACTTTGGTGTTTACTTGTGGTTGTTTGGAAGAACACTGATAAATTGAATTAACTATGGCAATGTTTCCTCTCAGGGACCACCAGGAAAGGATGGACTGCCTGGACATCCTGGCCAGAGAGGAGAAGTTGTAAGTTTGATTGTTTTGTTTTTACTGCTCTTCCTGCCCTTAAAGATGATTCCACTTGATTAAATTGACAGCTGATGAAGGTTGAACAAACCAAAACACTGTAAATTATTATTCCAGCAGCAAGTGAGACAGTTCTTGTTAATTTTCCCATTTCTATTCATAAATTCGCTTGTTCAGGGCTTATGGAAGTAATTTTATTCTGTGAAGAACACACTGTTTACATAGATCCATCATGATGACACCCGTTGATTGTTGGTCAGATTCTCCATCAGTCTTGGTTGATCAATGCCAATGTAATGAGCCTGTGAAGTACTGACCTATTGCTGAATATGTGGTGCATGAACACAGATAGTTAGCCACAGCACCCGTTTCTACACTGTTTTATTTTATTTTTTTTAAGAGTTTGCTTCCTGGAGAGTAACCATCTGTTCAAATTTTACTGCATATGTTTATGTTCCTCTATGTTTTAAATGGACAAATGATCAGGGGAAAGCACTCTTTCCTTTAAAACTGTTGCTTCATTCCTGTTGCACCTCTACTTTAGTCAGTCAGTTAATGAGATTGTGATAAAGGTTGTGAGAAGAGTTGTTTTTGATTTGAGATATGGATTACAGGTGTTATGATGCATCTCAGCAGTAGTGAGGAGGTTCTGTATTTTGTAGATTATCTGTTAACTGAGATTTTCTCCTTCAGGGTTTCCAAGGAAAAATGGGTCCACCTGGGCCTCCTGGAGTTGTTGGACCTCAGGTGAGTTTTTAATCATGGGGCAGAATTTTCTCATCAGTGGTAGAGTAAATCACATCATATGTCATAACAACACAACTTCCTTTTCCTCCTCTCCGCACTTTCTGTCCATGTTCATATCTGACTTCTTTGCCCTTCTGCTTCATTTCTTCCAACATCTTCCTCCTCCCTCTGTTCTCTCCATCTCCACCCTCCCAGGGTCCATCAGGAGAGACTGGTCCAATGGGTGAGCGTGGCCATCCCGGACCCCCAGGTCCACCTGGAGAGCAGGGACTTTCTGGTCCCTCAGGAAAGGAGGGCACCAAAGGAGACCCTGGACCCCCAGGAGGCCCCGGTAAAGACGGACCTCCAGGACTGAGAGGTTTCCCCGGAGAGAGAGGACTACCTGGAACCCCTGTGAGTATCACCGAGATGAAGAGAGATAGATGGCATAAAACTTTATTGATCCCAAAGGAAGTTCTTTTGCCAGATATTCCTCAGAAAACTAAATTACATACCATGAGAAATGCAGTGGAGAGTAAAAAAGCAGTAAGATACAGATACAATACATTACTGAAAATGAAAATAAGGACACTAAATGAAAACTAGAATAGAAAAAGGAATAAGTAAAACTGCCAGTGATTCTGAGACGGTAAAGTAACATCAGACATCGTAAGGAAAATTAAAATTAAATTGAGTTATTACACGATAAGAATATATTGCACATAAACTTTAAATGTTGCACATAAAATTAAAATATAATAAGAGAATACTTTAATCAAACAATTGGCATCCAGTTAATAATAACTTTTTCTTTTTTTAAGCGAAAAAAAAAAACCCTATGGATAAAACTGTTCAGCTGAGGTGAGATGAAAAATGTTCATTATTCTGGTCTTTTCTTCAGGGCGGTGGTGGACTGAAAGGAAGTGAAGGACCTGCTGGACCTCCTGGACCTGCCGTATGTTCTAAGCTCTATAATTTTGTTCATTTTTATAAAATTTCCATGGTGCACTAATATACAGTTATAATAGCAAAGGGTTTAGCCTACTTTGAGTTTGGTCAGTGCTTTCATTAGTATTTGTTGATCGTTATGACTAATTTTGAGGGTCTTCTTAATTTTTCGAAATCGTTGAATTGATTGTCACAAATCATTCTATTCTGTAGCTCATCCAACTTAAGAGTGGAGTCTTCACATAATAAATGCCTGATGTAATCTGTACTCTCTTTTATGTGCTTTTCTAGGGGTCTCCTGGTGAGAGGGGAGGCGCTGGTACTGCTGGACCTGTTGGACCCCCTGGCAGACCAGGCCCTCAGGGGCCACCTGGACCTGCTGGAGAGAAGGGAGTTCCTGTGAGTGTTCTGGAGGTTTTCCAACAATTTGCAGCAGCTCGCATTTGACTTGATAACAAGAACAAAATTCTAAAGACATTGTCCAGCTAAAGAGAAAATCTTAACAGCTGATTCCCGTTTTTCTTTCTCTCCTGCTAAGGGTGAGAAAGGCCCTATTGGCCCAGCAGGTCGGGATGGAGTGCAGGGTCCAGTGGGTCTGCCTGGCCCCGCCGGACCACCTGGAGTCCCCGGAGAGGATGGAGATAAGGTCAGCATTTCAAAGTAACCTTGTTAATCTGCCCAGTAATGTATGGGTGGAACATTTCATCTGGACAGGCGATGCATAAATGACACAAGTCAGGTAGAGAATATCCTTCTCTATTATCCTCAGGCCTGTCAAAAGAATCATCAGACAAAAGCCTAACAGGACTGGTGCTGTTAATATTTGCCAAAGTCTAGTATGGCTTGGTGTGTAAAGTACTACAATGTGTCTGTTGTTTCAGGGTGAAGTTGGAGAACATGGTCAGAAGGGTGCCAAGGGAGCAAAAGGAGAGCATGTAAGTGGCTTAACTTATGACCTAATATTTATTTTCTGATGGTAATGCTCACAATGTAATGCTTATAGAAAACTGTCTAATGAAGGTCTTTCTTTTTTTTTATCGTATCACTGCTGTTTTGTTGCTTCTTTAATGCTTGTTTGTTGTTTGTCGTTAGGGTCCTCCTGGTCCACCCGGCCCAATGGGTCCCGTCGGTCAGCCGGGTCCTGCTGTAAGTAGAAAAATGAAGGAAACATCAGCTAGCAATGTGAAATTTGTTGCAGGAGACTTTTACATCATAGTACACCAAAGATACCAATATGATGAAGGTCTTTGCAAAATGGATGTTTAGTTGTATGAATTCACTGATCGTTACTGTTCTGATTAGAACACTGTTTAGAGCTTTCTGTCACTATCAGGGATAGAAGAAGTTCATATTTTCAGCTAACATTTGCTCATCTCCAGGTCTTTATCTGTGTTTTTCCTCCCCTGTGGTGCAGGGTGCTGATGGAGAGCTCGGACCGAGGGGCCAGCAGGGGCCTTTTGGAGCTAAAGGTGATGAAGGAACTCGAGGATTCCCAGGAGCCCCAGGACCAATCGGGCTACAGGTAAAAACAAGAAGTCCCAATATGTAAATCAGAGGCAGGCAAATCTTTGTTAAAGCTTCATTGTAGACTTTGATGGAAATATTTTGAATTTTTAAGCTAAGTTGCTATGCTAAGCTGCTAAGATAACTTTCACCTTCGTCCTGCAGGGCTTGCCAGGACCATCTGGTGAGAAGGGAGAGACGGGAGATGTTGGACCTCTGGTGAGTTTCAGAAATTCATGATGACTGTAATGACTGCTTCGGTTGCTTCTGTCGTCAAAGTAAAATCATAAATGATGATAAGAGCACAAGCCTCTTTATGTTTCCAGGGTCCTCCAGGCCCTCCAGGACCCCGCGGCCCTGCTGGACCCAACGGAGCTGACGTGAGTGTTTACCAAATGAAATTGATTTGCATCGCACGTTCAAAACAACCGAAGTTCACCAAAGTGCTGCACATGGTGTCAGACAGGGAGTAACAAAAGTATGTGCTAAACATCAAGACAGGATAAAACTAGTAAAATTAAACTGTAAAACTGAATATAATACAAAAACAGGACAGCAACTTGTAAGATGAATTTCTAAACTATAACTGTGAAATGTTAAGAGCGTTAGGAACAACCAAAAACCATTGAAAATATGTACATCTTGAAGTTTTTCTTGAAAATATCTGTGGAGGAGGAACAATTAATAGAGAGAGAAGGGTTGTTCCAAAGCTTTAGAACTCTTATATGGGCTACTGTACAAAGAACTGTCGCAGAGCTTTTACTGTACTTTGGCAAAATTGGTCACCTGCTGAATAAGGCAAAATAAAACTGTCTTAAATTGTCTTCACTTTTGTTTTTAAAATGGCACGCTACCAAACTGCCATTGTCTGTTTATCATGAAGATTATGATTGTATCAAGCTACTTCTATTAGAGTCTTGTCTTGGTAATAATTATTGTTAGGCAGGTAAATAAAAAGAAAGCTAGCTATCACTCGTTTCTCGTAGCCATTTGAGGTAAATTGTTCTATTTGTTTTTTGTCTGACATGTTTTTGTGTGTGTTTTTAGGGTCCTCAAGGTCCTCCTGGTGGTTTGGGTAATCCTGGACCTATTGGAGAGAAGGTGCAGCAATTAAAGGAATATTTCTGCATGAGTTTGATGCTATACCAAGAAAAAAATCCAACAAACTGTTAATTCAATTTGTCCAAAGAACCAACATGTATACTTTTTACTCGACAGGGAGAGCCCGGTGAATCTGGACCACCTGGAATCGTAGGAGAGCCTGGAAAGAAGGTGAGTAGCTGAAAGTCTGAACCAAACACTCTGTGAGTTGAAATATCAAGAGACTGTGCACCCACTGATCAGTTAATGGTACCTCTGAGTTAACAAAGAGTTAAATGCTTCTGTTGACAGGGTCCTCGTGGAGAGCGCGGAGAGAAGGGAGAGGCTGGACAACCTGGAACTGCTGGACCTGCTGGAGGACGAGGACGACCTGGAGACGACGGACCCAAAGGAAACCCTGTATGACACCCACAGTGATATGCACTCAAACTAGCGTGCACAATAACATTGCCACACAGGACTTTAAGCGTCTTAATCTGTGCCATTTAGTCTCTGAGTTTGGTTTTGTTTTCAACTTTAGGGCCCTGTTGGTTTCCCTGGTGATCCTGGTCCCCCTGGTGAGGTTGGACCCAGAGTAAGTACCATTTTTTAAAGAATACATCTGATTTATTTGTTCGATTTCAGAGTTTGGTTGTATGTGGCTCTACAGCTGCAAAGATACATATTGTCTCATGCTTTTTGCTAAACTTGACAACTCTGTTTTGCCTGCAGGGTCAAGATGGCGCCAAGGGAGAGAGAGGAGAGGACGGTGAACCAGGAGAATCTGTAAGTCAAAAGATGCATCAGTGCAGATTTGGGAATGAAGTATTCTAAAATATATCGGTCTCCTCAATTTTCTCGCTCTGCCTCCTGTTGCAGGGCTCTCCAGGACCTCCTGGTGAGAACGGACCCCCCGGCCCCCCAGGAAAGAGAGTAAGCTACCCTCATCATTCTACAGTCAACTGCTGCTACTAAGGAGTACTTCTGTCAGAACAGTGTAGTCATTAATGCATTTCTCTTTCCTGTAATGGCATTTGCTTACTTGTTATCAGTGTGGGCTGTATTTCATGTGTAGTTCAAATATATCATTTAGGGATGAAATTTGTGTTTGTTAAGTCACTGTTGTATGTTTTCTTTGACAGGGTCCTGCTGGAACAAGAGGACCAGAAGGACGCCAGGGAGAGAAGGGAACCAAGGTCAGTCCAGAGCTTTGTAGAGCATTTTTTAGCTCAATGATGCGTTGCACAAGTTATTACATCCAAAACACGACAAAGAATACAAAAATGGCGTGAGGATGCCACATAGACTTCTGATCACTGTCTCATTTTTTGAGGATGGCCTTCTCCTTGATGGAAGTCCCAAGATAAATCTCTAACTTTGCTTCAGTTCTGTAAAACATTTGCAATGTCAGAATGTATTACTCTTTCTCTGTGATTTGTTTCTATCAGGTGACAGGCTCCTCTTAAACATTTTTGTCTGTTGAGCAACTGTGGTATCTAATTTTAAATGTTAAGTAATTCAAGCAATAACTTTTTATAACATTTAATCACGTTTCTTACCATTTACAGGGCGATTCAGGTGCAGTTGGCCCCCCAGGAAAGACCGGCCCTGTTGGCCCCCAGGGTCCACCAGGAAAACCAGGAACAGAAGGTCTTAGAGGACTCCCAGGATCAGTGGTCAGTTGGGTTTTTGTGTTTTTCTTGTATTTGTTAATACAGCAGCTAGACAATACCATATTCACCTATTATATGTTTAGATTGTATATTTTTAGCCTATTGTATGTTTAAATTGTATATTTTGCAGAATATTATATGTTTATCTTAAACATTTTTTTAGCATGTATATTTTTTCAACATTTTTTTTTTTTAATGAGGGTTCGAGAGAAACTCAATTTCAGTTCCTGCATGTGTACACGTGTAAGAGAACTGACAATCAAGTAACTTTGACTTTGACTTAAGGATGAGCAAAATAATCAATTTCAAATCGAAATCAAAGTTTGGAACAATGCAATTAGCAAACCACAAAGGCTGTGATGTAGAATACAGACTGTGACCCAGGGTTGAAAATGACTTGTCACAATGTTTATGGTATCTTGTGTGGTAATGCCTCATCACGTTTTAAATCTATGACACAGTGAATACTGATGTGGAGTTTGACATAGAAAAAAAATCTGAATAAAATCACAATAGTTGTAAGAAAATTAGCATTTTTTCCCCAAATCTACCAGCATTATTCCACATGCATATACAATATGTGTTGTTTAGTGTCTTGGGGGCTTCCTGCTAAATGTGTTTATACTGTTTCAGGGTGAACAAGGATCTCCAGGACCTGCTGGACAGAAAGGACCACCTGGACCTATTGTAAGACTGCAAAACCCGATCAGTTTCATTTATACGTTTACTCTCAGTTAGTTTTGATTAAAACTAATTAACTAACCTCTCTTCTTCTAACCCTGCAGGGACCTCCTGGTTTGCCTGGTCTCCGTGGAGACCCCGGAGCCAAGGGAGAGAAGGGACACCCAGGTCTTATCGGACTCATCGGACCCCCAGGAGAGCAGGGAGAGAAGGGAGACCGAGGTCTTCCTGGGCCTCAGGGATCCTTAGGACCCAAAGGAGAGAATGTAAGTGTGACCTTCACCATGTGTTTCATAGTGGGGCAGTTCAAGCACTGTTACTCACATTTATTTTGACAATAATGTATGAAAACTATTCTTATGTTAGACATGTCCTGGGTTTTATTGTAGGGAATGCCTGGAGGCACCGGACCTCTCGGCCCTGCTGGTCCTCCTGGTCTGCCTGTAAGTGCCTGTACTGTTTTCCTCCCCTTCTTGGTTCAGTTCGTAAGTATTTTTTTAAGCATCATTATAATATTAAATGTTTTGTCTTTTCCAGGGTCCTCAAGGTATCAAAGGAGCTAAGGGTGCTTCTGTGAGTAACAGTACTTTTGTAAATGCTTGTATCACAAAAACAGTGCTGTTGTTCACAAAATTTGCTTTGAATTGTATGTTGTGCTCTTCACCTTCTCAAATCTTTCCTCTTCCTGCTGCATGTAGGGAGGAGCTGGTCCCAAAGGAGAAAAGGGTGTACAAGGACCTCCTGGACCTCCTGTAAGTACCTCACCTCTCTGTGTATAAACTTCAGAGGGAGTCGGATTTATAATTTCAATTCTGCTCACTCACTGCTGATCATCAGTTAATTGAGGGAAATGTAAACTTGTCTCTCAGGGCCCACCAGGCGAGGTCATTCAGCCTCTGCCCATCCAGAGGAGTCCCAAGTCCAAGCGCTCAATCGATGCCAGCCAGCTTCTCCCCGAGTCCGACCCTGACATGCCTGCTTCCGACGCCACTGGCACTGAGTTCCTGATGGGCAGTGAAGGCATGGAGGAGATCTTTGGCTCTCTCAACTCACTTAGACAAGAGATCGAGACCATGCGTTTCCCTCTGGGCACCCAGGACAGCCCCGCTCGCACCTGCCAAGACCTGCACCTCAGCCAGCCAGACCTCAAGGACGGTACGGGAAGACACATAAGAGTTTACCTGCCTTAAAGTGATCATTAAATAATTAATCTATGCAAACTTAAGACACACCCTTTCCAATATGACCATTAGGAACACAATACGAATGAGCATTACATACAGAATAACTTAAATTCTCAGACTTCTTGCATTTTTTCTGCCTCTCTTTGACTCTCTGTTGCCCTCTGCAGGAGAGTACTGGATCGACCCCAACCAGGGCTGCTCCAGAGACTCCTTCAAGGTCTTCTGTAATTTCACAAATGGAGACACGTGTCTGTACCCGAGCAAGAGCATCAATATGGTCAGTCCACCATTGTAAAACTGTGTGCAGATTAAATCCACTAATAACACATCCTCAGTGTCGAAGTGCAAGTTTATTGAACAGAAAGGTCCTGTTGGCTTTCCCAGTGAAAGTCGTTGAAGTAAACATGTTAGGGATAGAAATTATATTGCAAATCATTGTTGATGAAGGTTTTCAGTCTCTGGTTTCAGATTTTTCAAGAAACTGCCCTGTCTGTCGAATTTAGTTCTACCGTTTATAATAACACTATGGAGATGCAAGACTGGCTCAGAAAGATGTAGATGAAGTTGGTGTAAAACTGTCTTGTCACACAAGTTGTTTATTTATTCTTGCAAAAACAGAGCTATCCCACTAAACTTGTCTGACTATTATATGTGATGTGAACAACTGTGGTTGTAGGTGAAGATGAGCTCCTGGGACAAAGAGACTCCAGGATCGTGGTACAGTCAGTTTTCCACTGGTAGTAAGGTTAGTAGCCCTCTGTGACATGTAGACTGGCTGTAGAGTTTACTAGTCTAATCATTTAGCTCTTAACTTTACTTGAAGGCTCTTTATTTTGTTCTCACCATCCTGTTTCTCATCCTGACTCCACTCGTCTTCTTTTACTGTCATCTCTTCCCTCCTTGATGTGCTTTCCTTTCTTTTGCTCTTCCACCTTTTCCTCCTCATTATCCTCTTGTCCCTCCTCTTACCTCCTCTTCACCTCCTCCTCCTCCTCCTCCTCCTCCTCCCAGTTCTCCTACGTCGACTCTACCGGGGAGCCCGTTGGTGTGGTCCAGCTGGGCTTCCTGCGTCTCCTGAGCGTCCAGGCCCGCCAGAACCTCACCTACCACTGCCACCGCTCAGTGGCCTGGGCCGACCGAAGCGCCAAGAATAACTACAACAGAGCGCTGCACCTCCAGGGTGCCAACGACGAAGAGCTGCGCTACGAGACCAACCCTTACATCAAAGCTTTGGTCGATGGCTGCTCTGTGAGTTCACCCACATTAACTGATTTTACCCTTTTTGTAGGAGTCTCTGAGAAACTCTCCTATCCTTCTTCTACACATTTTCAACAGTCTGACCCTCTTCCTGAACTATCAAAGTAAACTGCCTCTCTCAAATTAAGTGATCTGGAGCTCCTGAATTACAGCTGCTGGCCTCACCTTCTGTATCCTGCTGCCCCACCATGATGCCTCCTGTTACAAAAGGACAATAAATTCTAATAACTTGTTTAACTGTAAACTAAATTGTATAATTCATCCCACTCTCACCCAACCGGTCGAGGCAGATGGCCGTCCCTCCCTGAGCCTGGTTCTGTCGGAGGTTTTTTTTTCCCCTGTGGGGGTTTTCGGTTCCTTCCCACTGTTGTGGACTGCTTGCGGACTGCTGAAGCTTGTAGGGAATCCAAATGTTTTGGATTGTTGGGTGTTTCTGTCTCTGCCTTTGTGAAGCGCTATGAGTTGTTGTAAATATGCGCTATACAAATAAAATTGAATTGAATTGAATTGAATTGATATCCCATCAGGCTGCATTTTAGATTGATCCCATTTTATGTGATGCTCCACCTCAACATCCAGTTTCAGTCGCATTCAGAACATAAAGACACCATTTCATTTGATGGGAACTTTAAGGTTGTGAAACTCATTTGGCTCCCAACTTTCCTCTACAATCATCATGCTATTAATGCTTCGCTGTCTCACATTTGAGATAAATAAAATGATTGCTGACACATCTTCAAATCACAGGAAAAACTGCCTGATAACATTTACAGGCTGCAGGGAAGCATTTCACTTGCCCTGTTCTGATTCACAGTGCTTTGGTTGAATGTTGTTTTTCAAAGTTGCCACTCAGAAAGATAGAGCCTTTTTTTATAGTGAGGGGGAGTATTACATGAAAAAGTGTTGTGACCTGCACAAGATAACCTCATCTGAAGTGCACTAGTTGTGATTTTCAATTTTCTTTGCAGACAAAAATGGAAACTTAAAACAAAAGACCTTTTTTTTTGACAGTCATACAAATACAAATGTCTTCTGTACATTTAAAAAGCCCTGGCCTTTACTTTGTTTTCTTTATGCACATGAATCTGTGCAGTATCAGTGTTTTCTGTTCACATAAGAATCTGTTGAATATCAATGTTTTTCCACATATAGAACAACCCTGTGTAGGATTGTTATTTTAAATCAATTAGAGGAATCTGTGCAATGTTTGGATTTCTACAAATGAAAGAATCAGCATAGTATCAACAGTATTTCTGTATATTTCCTGTTTATTTTTCTATTGATGTCCCTGCTTTTTTGCACTTTCCCCTTTGCTGCTGTATCACTGCAAGCTTCCCTCTATATCTTGTGTTACGTCCTGATCTAGACCCACGATGACGACTGACATGCGTCTCTCTGTGTCTGTCTCTCTGCAGTATCGTAAGGGCTTTGACAGGACAGTCCTGGAGATCAACACACCTCAGGTGGAGCATCTTCCTCTGCTGGATATCAAGGTGTCAGACTTTGGGGAGAGCAACCAGCAGTTTGGCTTTGAAGTGGGACCTGTCTGTTTCCAAGGCTAAAAACACACACGTACACACATCATGCAGAGAACAACACATGCAAATACTCACGCGCACACACATGCACTTAGAGACACACTTATATATGATAAACATACATGCCCATTAATTTGTAAATTAACTTGTAAATGATTTAAAACACACACACACACACACACACACACAAAACCCACAGACACACACACACACACTTTACAAATGCTGTTGTGAGACAAGCACGCGCTCACACTCAAGAGGGAAAGCAACATCCTCCCGACAATTAATGGACGACATAAAAGCAAAGAGGAGAGAAGTACAAAAACAAACTCGCGGAGAAGAGACCATCGATTGGGCGCACGGCCGCGAGAAAGGAAGACAAAACCAGGAGAGAGCGTTCTTCGGAATAAAACAGTGTTTTCTGTACCAGCAGCGTCAGGGGTCGGCCTGAGAGAGAGCAAGCCGGAAACTTGTCGCCTGAAGCCCCCCGTCTCCGATCCCCCCCCTCACTCCTCTCTCCTCCCCGCCGTCTCTCTTCTTTTCCACTCATATCACCTGCTCTACCTCCCCCTTCCTCTTCCCAAAAAAAAAAAAAGGGTCACACTCGGACACCGTTCCCATTTCTTTAATCTCACGTTCACACTGTAAGTAACATGACCGACGGTCGCTCTTCTATGATTCACAAGAGGCTCCTGTGTAGCTGTCTTCATCTGTGATGCTTTGAACAGTTAGATCACGTGTTTTGGTTCACAGCTTTGGCCTTTGCTGGGTGTGTATCCTTCAGCCATTCACATAAAAAGTTCTGAGTGAACTTTTTATCCATTTTGCACTTGCCAGCCAGAGCTTCTACTCACGAACCAAAATCAGTTCTAAGCAGTAGACGCCAAACTCTAGCAAATGACAGCAAGTGGTCACAAATGTTCAGCTGGTACAGATGTAAACCTTTGGGCATCTGAGGTAGTCGTCTTGTTGTGTAAGATATGAACATAAACGTCCAGTGGCTTGTCGATCATGTTGCTTACAGAGTAGCGCTCAGCTTTTATCTGATTACCCCAAAAAGAACCCAAAGAATTGATGCCACCAGTTTCCACCCAGAATAAAAACAGGGAACTGACCACATGACACCAGCAGGTTCCTGCTTATTTTTTGATCTGTTTTTATCTTGTTTAAGCTACAACCAAGTGAATTTTCTACTCTTTGTTATATTCTCTTCACTACCACCTTCTGGTTTTATTAAAACTGTTTAAAAAAATGTGATTCACAGCTCAAACTGTTGATTAAAAATAACTGTAGTGTTTTGCAGTGAGGTTGACTGAGTCCAGTGTGATGCAGGATTTATTCTTGTTTGAGCTGGACAGTCTTTTCCTCCACCGTGAGAGCAGCAAAAAGTCTTTAAATTCTTGATTTGTTAAAGTTGGACAGTCTGTTAGTGCATGCAGTGCGGCGGGAGAGAAGATGTGTTCAAACCTAGATCAGTGAAATTAAAGCCATTATTTTTGTAAACTGTGCTAAATGTGATGCTCTTGTATTTGCATTTTACTGGTGCCTTTAAAAAGAGCTGATTCTTCCTTAAATCATGGATCAGACTACCAGGGTCGCTACCACACTCCAGTTCAGTATTTGCTGAGTCACTTTCTGGGTACTTTGATTTTTTTTGTTTTCCATCCAGAACACATTTTCTGATTTAGCGTCTGAGCACAGAACATCGTCAGGGTTTAAATATGTATATGAGAATCAAAGTTCCCTCCCTTTTGTTTCTGCAGCAGTGAATAAAATGCATGCTTTACTTAAAACTGTGTGGCAAGGTGCTAATTATACAAAAGGGTTAAAAGTTTTAGTATTCACTCTGAGTCTTCCACTTTCTTTAGTCTATTTTTACAATTTCATGAAGCTTTTTACTGGGGAAGATGTGCATTACATTCCATTTGTACAGAAATAGTGATATTCTATTGTATTTATTTAAAACAAACAGGGTGCTTTGAGATTTTAAAAAAGAAGAAAAAAAAAGAACAAGAACCAACAAATATTTCAGCCAAATGTGGTGTATTTCATTTGTATTTATTTCCTGCAGCTGACACTTGAAGGTCAAGTAAAGCGAGTGACTTACATGTTAAACTCACTGTCAGTCTGAGTTATGGTGCTTCTGTTTACGCCCTGTCCAAACTCCTTTTGTACAACCAAAGAATCTGTGGCCATATTTTATTGTAATATCCCTTTTTAGTGTTTTCATCGCCTGTACTGTGCTGTTAAATTTTGCTTCCACTGTAATGATTAAATGGTGACTCTCCAGTTCTGTCACACTTCCTTGTCGTTGCTACTGTCTCACTTGGCGTGTCTTGGTTTCAGGCTCGGTGTGAAATGCATCATAGAAATACAGTTTATTACTCGGCCCCTGCATTTATCTTTGTTTATCTGGACTGAGGTGCTAGAATATTGATATACAAATCAGCGATCTTTTTAAATCTCCACCTGAGACCACAGTGGGGGAGAGAAAGGTTGTGAGAGGGAGGAGACAGCGTTTGTCTGCCAACACGGGACGGAAAGAATAACAAGATTATGGGGTGATTTCATTCTAGGGTTTTATTTGTTTGTTTCTTATGTGATTGTCTTTTTTTTTTTTTACACATATATATATAGCAGGAAACTGGGGAGGGATGGCCAAAACCTAAAACCAAAAAAATCTGTCTTTCTCCAGAGAGAATGACCTCAACTATTTGTTTGTTTTTATTGTGTTGAAGACATTTCAACATTAAAAAAAAATAAAAAAAATGGTGCTGAAAAGAGAAAAAAGTATTATTTTATAATGTCTGTAAGTATTTTTTTTTTAAAGTTTTTGTTTCTGTAATATATAATCTTTTTAAAAAGAGCTGCTTGACTTTTGTTTTTCTTCCAAACCCTGTTCATCATTGTTTCCCCGCATATTCAGGCAATTTAAGCATGGATAAAAAGTAGTCGATTTTGTTGTTTTAGTTTTTGTGTTTTACCTCAAGAGAAGTCAGACTGACAGTTGTGTCTGACTGTCATGTGTCTGTTTCTGTTTAATCGTTTGATTATTAGTGTAAATGTAAAACACGTGGTTGGTTTGTGAATCATTAGGTTTCTTTGTTTTATTAAATACTGCAGCTTATGCTAAGCTTGAAGGTCAGTTTAGATCAGATCCAGGTATTTCTGGTAGAGATTTTGATCATTTCTGTTTAGCAGTTTGTCGTCCTGATGTTGTTGTCGTAGAATTGAAGTGACGGCTGTTGTCATCTTCAGCTCATCTTAATCTCCCCACTGCTTGCAGGACTTTGTTACCAGACGTTTAAACCTCATCGAGGACGGCGCAAAAAGTGGTGTTTTCTTAGATGATAATGATCCTTGTCCTTTGGTTTTGTCAGGCGCTAAATTTCAGCTGTAATCACCCAGTAAAGATGACAGCAGACAACACCAGTTCATCTCCTTTGCTGCAGAATCTTTCCCTGTTGTACTGCGTAGAGAATTATTGGCTCAGAGGGAACATGAAGTACTGGTACATGATCTTTGAAATTATACATCCGATTTCCAGAACCAGCTTGCATGTTTAGCTGCTCTGTGAGAACCAGCATCTGCTAACCGATAACTCACTGTGAAACATTTCTGTGGCTTTGGACTCTGACAAGTCTTTTTTTTTTTTTTTTTTTAAACATGGGGAGCACATAAAAGAAACTGAGAGCTATAAACTGCAGCAACACTTCTGATTGAATAGTGAAAGGCTTTCTGAATGAGCACCGTCTGTAACATCTGAAAAAGCAGAGATCATCGGTTCAGATCCCATCTAGTCCTTCAATCCGTCAGTGTTTTGACTCTTAGAGAACAGAGCAGAGCTGAAGAGGCTCTGGTGTTGCCGTGGCAGCGTTACCGACACCAACCTCTGAAAATGATCTGCAGTGGTTGGTTCAAATCCCAGCTGAACCACAAACGACGTGTGAAGAGATTTGCAAGGCTCGGTGGACATGTGAAGGAGCAAATAACATACTTTAATGTTGAGATTTATATTCAGCTTTTGGTAAACAAACTCTACAGTCAGGTGTTTATTGGTACAAAATGTGCCTTTACACTGTACAGTACATGTTCACAGCCAGATTTACAAAACATACAGTACACACTCAACAATCCTGATTAAAAGGCCACAAAAAAGTAGAATCAGTTAACAACTAATTAGAAAGAAACTAGTCTCCTGATGACAGCTGGTTTAGCCAATGAAAAGTCCACCTGGCAAAGAAAGACAAGTTTTAACCTGATGAAGGCTCAGCTGAGTGGGACGACATATGGCAAATGAAATGTTTTAGCAGAAGCTGACTCTTACTGTACCTGTCACTTCGATACTGGCTCCTGTGACGTATCGGGAATCATCTGAAGCTAGAAAGGCACAGACATCAGCGACCTCTGGAGGACAGAAAGAGACAAAGATCTTCCACTCATTTCACTGCAGGCCATAAAAAGGACTGAAGAAACAAAGTGTTGTTGGTGCAATAAGAAATCTGAGACTTGAATAGAAGACATGCAGTGAAAACAACCAGTTTAATATTATTAGTGTTAACTGACCTGCAGGCTCGCCCATTCTTCCCAGAGGCACCAAGGACTTCATCTGAAACACGCAAAACACAGCAAGACAATGCATTGTAGGAGGAGAAACAAAGTGCTCCACATAGCAAGAGATCATCATATAAACAGACGAGGATAAGAGAATAAAAGAACTAAACAGTCATGTTCAAAATGAACAATGGCAAAATCCATTAACAGTATAACAATCAGGTCAAATCAGGAAAAGCTGTGGGGACAAAGTATGTTTAAGCTTAGATTGAGACGATGCCACTGACTCAGCCTACTCCATTTAATCATGTTTTAGATCCTCAGGACTTCTGTTTCAGAAGCTGTGCCCTCTTTCGTCTTCAGCCAAGTGTCTGGAACAGAAAGACGTCTCCTGTCCGAGGATCTCAAAGTGCCAGCAGGGTTGTACGGGGTTAAAGGTCTGAGAGATGCTGAGCAGTCAGACCTTGGAGTGTTGTAATTCAAAGAACCTTCAAACTCATTCTAAAACGTAGTGGAAGCTGGTGCAAAAAG